TCTTTGAGAACTCTTCATTTTCCCATTCCACCGCCTCCTTCATTGTTCCAAATTCTCTCAAATTCCTTCAATCTTCCAAGGATTTCCAAGAGCCTTTTTGAGTAACTTTTAGTAGGGTTTTAATATAAAGCATCCTAAGGTAAGGATTATTGCTTTAGATGAGAGTTTTATTATGTTTTGATTAGAGTCTCATGTTGTTGTGGTTGTTGGTTAAAGTTGTAGAGAAAAGGCAAGCTCCCAAAGGGAAGAAGAAGTGTTAAAGAAGCTATTTCCCCATAAGGTAAGTAAATTCAACCTAAGTTGAGATTTAAGAACTCTTTTGAGTAGAGTTATATATATATGTGTGTGTATTCATTAAATTGTTGAATGAGATTAGTAGTTATGATTGAGTGATACACATAAATTGAGTTATGAGAAGTGTTTTATTTGCTTGATGTTGGGTTGAGTTTGATTGAAGTTATAGGAAGTTTTGAGCAAGCTTATGGAAGTGTTTTTCTTTTGACAGGAAATTTAGAGTTTATGAGAGAGTTTCCTCTCATTTGGATGATTAAAGAAAAGAGAAAAGTTAGAGTTAGAGTAGAGTTGTTTATGCACATAAGTTGTATGATGAATTGCTCAAGAGAAGTATAAGTAAGAGTAAAAAGCCTTAATTGTTGCTACATGTCATAAATGCATTAATGAGTTTGAGTCATTTATGTGCATTAACTATGCTTTATTTATGCACTAGAAAAGACAGTAGAGAAAGAGTAGAGACTTTTGAGTTTAGACTACTCTAAGAGTAAAGAGAAAGAGAGAATGAGCACTATAGAGTAAAAGCTAGAGTAGTGCTAAATAAGAAAATAGAGTAGGTTGTGCGATGGGGAACCTGTGAGTACGGGTTAGTATTCCCGCATGTACGCCGCATAGAGAGAGCGGCAAGAGTATCAGAGAGAGAAGTGGTGTAGCCCGTAGAGTACATGCGGATGAGGGCTATACCCGAGAGGACCCGAGAGATTCTATGCACTCACATGGCCAAAGGTTCCGAATCCATGCATAACCAAGTCCGATCGGCTAGAATGAATAGAAGTCACGAGGAGAGGGAGCGAGTCCCAGCCGTGCCTCCGGTCAGATGGGGCCGTGACTTACTAGAAAGAGAGTTAGTAGAAAAGAGTAATGAGAAAGAGAAAATAGAGAGTTGTATAAGGGAAGAGTCAATAAAAATGGTAGGGAAAGAATTAGAGAGAGAGTTACGGGGATATTTGAGTAGATGGGTTTACTTACTGAGCATTGTTTTGTGCTCATCCCGTTGTTCCCTATGTTTTTGCAGGTTCTAGATGAGGACACAGTCGGATGGACATTGGCACACGAAGAGAAATGGCTACACTGTCCACCCTATTTTGATAGTTTTACATATGATACAAATCTTGTATATATTTGTATAAAGAATACATATGTTTAATAAAAGAAAATTTTCGGGCCCAACTTTTTATGTTATTTTTACATGTACTTTTACTATGCATGTTTTTATGAGAATGGAGTCGTTACATATAATTAATTAAATTTATAATAATTTAATTAGGTATTGTGCTAATGTAGTAAATTATTAATGTTTATCATATAATATCATAATTAATTAAGTAATCATTTCATTATGTAATGTTATAATTAATTATGTGATCATACTATAATGTAGTGTTATAATGAATTAAGTAATCATACTATAAATCTTAATATAATATTACAATTAATTAAATTTCTAATGATTTAATTAAATATTGTATTAATGTTTACAATGGAACGTTATTATTAATTAAGTAATCATTTGTTTATAACGTAATGTTATAATTAATTAAGTAATCATACTATAAATTTATAATGTAATATTATAATTAATTAAATTTCTAATCATTTAATTAAGTATTGTGCTAATGCAGTAAATTACTAATATTTATAATTTAATGTCATAATTAGTTAAGTAATCATTTCATTATGTAATGTTATAATTAATTATGTGATCATACTATAATATAATGTTATAATAAATTAAGTAATCATACTATAAATCTTTAATATAATATTATAATTAATTAAATTTTTAATCGTTTAATTAAGTGTTGCACTCATGTTTATAATGGAATGTTATAATTAATTAAGTAATTATACTATAAATCTATAATGTAATGTTATAATTAATTAAATTTCTAATTATTTAATTAAGTAATGTACTAAATTACTAATGTAATGTTATAAACTTATAATTAATTAAGTAATCATTTAACTATAACATAATGTTATAATTGATTAAGTAATCATTTAATTAGTAATGTTTTAATGTTTATCAATTTATTTTATCTAATTAATTAATTACTAATTTACTACATATGTACTTAGAACTTGATAATTGAAGTAAATAATTAAATATTATATTATTATTCAATCAAATAAACTATTCTGTTCAAAAGGAATTCTTTTAATAATATTAAAATACTTTTAATTGATCTTAATTCTAATTATACACTTAATTCAAAACTTTAATATTAATATATTAAAGTTTTTTATTTGGTGTAGTTTATATATAATAAGTATAATTGTATATTTATTTAATTAGGTTATTGTAAAAATTTAACTTCTTCAATTTTTAATTTTTTTATAGGTAAAATTAAAATAGACCCCCTAATCTTCACATATATTTATTTCAGCCAAGGTTCCAAAACAGGGTACCCGCTGCAGTTTTTTTTTTTTTTTTTTTCAGGTTCTCGTTCCGGTTTCTCCACATGTAGGAATCGGAATTGGAACCGCACAATGTCGGCTCCAAAAAAATGGAACCGGAACCTACCCACATAGTGTTTATTTCAGGTAGGTTTTGGTTTCGGTTCCGGTTCTACCCACTATCTGTGCTCACCCCTAAATACTGGTAATATTATTGCATAGCAGCATAACATGCTTTGTTAACCACAAAACTATATTAATAACTTTAAGAATATTTAATGTCGATTGTTTTACAATCAATGTCGCCAATATGATGTTCTCTTTGTGTAATGTTGCACGTTATTAAATCAGACCACCTCTCTGGAGGGCCGACAAACCTCTCCAGAGGACTTGCATCATATTTCTGACTTGGGTATATATATATATATATATATAACACTGAAAAGACACACTATTTCCAAACACATAACAAACATGGCACATGAACTTGACTACATAGAATTTACTATTTATGTTGGAGAAATTTCAGTTTAAATATCCAAAATTCATGGCATTTGCTGTCCACAAGTAGACAAGATTGTAAGTAATTTTGAATAGAATTATTAAAGCTGGTAGTAGCAGCTGTTCTAGTGCACTGTTGTAGTAGAAGTCATGCCCATTTGGGCCCAATTGTTTTGCTACTCGACATGGCCCATCCAATAAACGAACTTTATCGTTCATCATATATTTTTGTCACCACAACATGAAATTGGGTGCCGCTTTCACTAGTATAAGAGCCTTTCACAGTTTTGTATTGTTTAAAGTCTCACTATGGATGGACTTGGGTTTTTAGGTGAAGTAATAATGGACTTCAAAAGTTTTGTTAAAGATGGGCCACACTCAATCTCTTTCCAAGCCTCAATATTAATTAAAATGATTTAAAAAGTATAATTTACAAGTACATTAAATTTCATTTCAAGATTAATCCTCTTTAAAAATTTCTTCCTAAATATCTTCCTTAATCCCAACATCTATTTTTTCTGTTAAAGTAAATATCAGCCATCATTTTTAATCTGATTTAAATCTGAATGCATTCATTTAACAACATATTTCATCTTCAAAACCTTGTTTAGTATCAAGCCTTTTCATGATTTCTCTTTCACCACGGAAATAGAGATGGCAAAAGATAAAAAAATAAAATAAAATCAATTCATAATTATTGCCTTCCATTGATTGAAATCATCTTCCATAAAGTTCCATTACTTTGAAATACTTTTAATTTTAGAAACACAATTCCAAACATATAAAAGGGTCTGGGGTGGTTTTAAAAACAATATTTTTTTAATATTTGGCGTGTATTAAAAGATTAAATGTCTTTTTTGGGTATTACAAATTTAAAGAATATAAATGTTCAAAAATTATTATTGGGGGTTAGAAAGAGATTAAATGGGGCTTCAATAACACCACTCTTTAAGGAGAAATAGTAATAGGCTCCAAAAGTCTCCCCCGGGTTTTAAGGCCACGGGTTAATGGGTTTCAAGAGTCTAGTTAAAAATAGACCTGGGTTTGAGGCCTAGTAATAATGGGTTTCAAGAGTCTTACTGGCGATGGATTTGGGTTTTGACTTTTGAGACAAGATAGTTATAGGCTCCAAATATTGGCCTTGGGTTTTATGGTGACGAACTTATGGGCTTCAAGAGGCTCACTAGAGATGGGCTTGGGTCTTGATGGCTTGGTACTAATGGGTTTTTCGGCCCAATATATATGGGCTCCAAATATTTCCCTTGGGTCTAAGGTGAAGAAATGATGGGTTCTAACGCTTAGTACTAATGAGTTTCAAAATCATGCTAGAAGATGGACTTGTGTTTAGAGAGAAAATATTAACGGTCTCCACATATTTCGATTGGGTTTTAAGGTTACCAAATAATGGGCTTCAAGAATCTGCCAGAGATGGACATTTAGCCTAGTAAATTAATAATAAGCTTTCAAAGTCTTGCTAAAGATGGACTTGGGTTTGGGGAGGGAAAAGATTAATGGGCTCCAAATATCTCCCTTGAGTTTCGAGAATGAGGTTCTAGAGATGGATTTGGGTTTTGAGGCCTAGTAAAAGCAGGATTTAAAAGTCTTGTTAAAGATGGACTTCGGTTTTGAGGCAAAATAGTAATGGGCTTCCATGGTTCTCTAGAGATCGACTTGGGCTTTCAGGACTCTTAATGGGCTGCCAAAGTCCGGCTAGTGATTGACAGATGTACGGCTAGCGATGGACTAAATAGTAAATACTGATATACAAGAGAGCGCCCAATGTCAATGCAGTTTTAAGTTCTGCAAACTTGATGAACAAAATCTCATGGTCATGGTCTCTCCATACCTTCCGCCACCTCTTGAAAACAAGCATAACTCAGAGAGACATTTTAACAGGCAAAACCCTCCATGCACTCTACCTCAAAATCTTTGTTCCTTCCTCTACCTACTTCTCCAACCAATTCATCCTCCTCTACTCCAAATGCGGCTGCGTTGCTTCAGCCCACCACGCTTTTAACCAAACCCCAAACCCCAACGTTTTCTCCTTCAATGTTCTCATTTCAGGTTATGCCAAAGTTTCACGTTTAAATATTGCTCATCAACTGTTTGATCAAATTCCCCAGCGGGACTTGGTCTCCTATAACACGCTTATTTCGGGTTATGCAGATTGCGGAGAGACTGAACAAGCGTTAAGCTTGTTCAAAGATATGAGAGACATGGGTTTTGACATGGATGGCTTTACGCTGTCTGGGGCGATTACCGCTTGCTCTAACGATGTTTTTCTGATAAAACAGTTGCACTGTTTCGCTGTTTATGGTGGGTTTGACAATTATTCTTCGGTGAATAATTCACTTCTTACGTATTATAGCAAAAACGGGTTTTTGGATGAGGCGGAAAGGGTGTTTCATGAGATGGATGAGATTAAAGATGAGATTTCTTGGAACGCTATGATTGTTGCATATGGCCAGCATAGGAAGGGAGAGAAGGCGTTAGAATTGTTTCAAGAAATCGTTCGTATGGGACTAGCTGTTGATATGTTTACTTTGGCCAGTATTTTGACTGCGTTCACATGTGTGGAGGATTTGTTAGGGGGTCTTCAATTTCATGCAAAATTGATCAAAACCGGGTTTCATCAGAATTCTCATGTAGGAAGTGGTTTGATTGATTTGTATGCAAAATGTAGTGGTGGAATTAGAGATTGTAGGAAGGTTTTTGAGGAAATCTGTAGTCCAGACCTGGTTCTTTGGAACACTATGATATCTGGGTATTCACAAAACGAGGAGTTCAGTGAAGATGCTCTTGAGTGGTTTAGGAAGATGCAACAAGTTGGTTATCGGCCTGATGATTGTAGCTTTGTGTGTGTGATTAGTGCATGCTCCAGTTTGTCTCCGTCTCAAGGAAAACAGATTCATGCATTAACAATCAAATCTGACATCCCTTCAAACCGGATTTCAATAAATAATGCCCTGGTAGCTATGTATTCCAAATGTGGAAACCTTCAAGATGCAAGGCGGCTATTTGATAGGATGCCAGAATACAATACTGTTTCGTTGAATTCAATGATTGCAGGTTATGCACAGCATGGGATTGAAATGGAATCATTATGTCTCTTTGAATGGATGTTGGAGAAAAATATTCCCCCCACAAGTATAACCTTCATCGCTGTCCTTTCTGCATGTGCACACACTGGAAAAGTTCATGAGGGTCAGAAATACTTTAGCATAATGACAGATAGATTTGGAATTGAACCAGAAGCTGAACATTATTCATGCATGATTGATCTTTTGGGTCGAGCAGGCAAACTTACTGAAGCTGAGAAGCTCATTGAGACAATGCCTGTTAGCCCTGGCACCATTGGTTGGGCTGCACTACTTGGTGCCTGTAGAACACATGGAAACATGGAACTAGCATTGAAAGCAGCTAACCAGTTACTTCAGCTGGAACCTTCAAATGCTGTTCCATATGTTATGCTTGCAAATATCTATGCAAGTACTGGTAAATGGGAAGAGGTAGCTACAATTAGAAAGCTGATGCGTGATAGAGGTGTGAAGAAGAAGCCCGGCTGTAGTTGGATTGAAGTAAACAAGAGGGTACATGTCTTCGTGGCTGAAGATAGTTCACACCCCATGATAAAGGAAATTCATGTGTACCTGGAGGAGATGTCGTTGAAGATGAAGAGAGCAGGCTATGTTCCAGATGTGAGATGGGCTTTGGTTAAGGATGATGAGATAGAGCATGGAGAGAAGGAGAAACGATTGGTGCATCACAGTGAGAAGCTAGCAGTTGCATTTGGGCTGCTATCAAGTACAGATGGGGAGCCAATACTTGTAGTGAAGAACTTGAGAATATGTGGGGATTGCCACAATGCAATCAAATTTATGTCTGCTATTGCCGGGAGGGAAATCACTGTGAGGGATACCCATAGATTTCATTGTTTCAAGGATGGACAGTGCTCTTGTGGTGATTATTGGTGACAATGGTTAGCATTCGAGCCAGTTTGTTTTCAACATAGGAATTAGTAGCGGTGGGAGGCATGAATAATCACAAGAGTACTGTTCTGATTCCGCCAATCAAATTTAGTATCATGCAGCAGGATGCTAAACAAAGTCATTTCTGGGTGTGACTGGTTAGCACTCAAGCTTTCAGTATTTATTCCTACCCATACAAATCAAATTTAGTATCATCCGGCATGATGCTAAACAAAGTCATTTACTGGGTGTGACTGGTTAGCATTCAAGCTTTCAGTTTTTATCCCTACCCCATACAACTCTGTGTCTCTTAAAAGGTCTCGATCTAGTGTGAATGGTATATGAAATAGAGATGTGGCAAGCAGAAAAAAGAAGAGGCTGGCTGTGAGTATTGAAAAGTTATGATCATTCAATCTATACACCCTCCAGTTTTGCTCACAGAGGCAGCAAGACCCGGAATGACACCAAAAGAACGTGAATTTGAAGAACAGGATTCTGTGTCCTTTGGATTTGACCTTCGGAAGGAGGCTTCCTCTTGCTATTAATTGCCCCCTGATGTAATTGGTTGGGTAGCTTTTGCATATTTTTTCCATTTGGGTTTTTTTTTTTTTTTTTTAATCTTTTTTCCATTTGAACCTTTTTATGCTCCAAGTGTTTTGGGCATCTTTATAGATCGACAAGATTCTACCAGTTGGTCTAGATATGAATGGAAAATCAGACTGGCCAGTATGGGGTAGAGATAAAAACTGAAAGCTTGTAAAAATCAGACTGGCATGACATTAGGAGAAATAATCTTTGCATATCCCAGTATATTTTTTCACCAACACTGAAGTATAATTAGTTGTTAAACATCTTTAGTTGCTCCACCAAATCATAAGCTCATGCTTTCTTAGTCTGCTTGGGATCATCTGCAACGCTAGATTGGCACATGGAATATGACACTACCGTCTACCGATAACATAACAGTAAAGTTATGGAATGCAAATGGTACTAAGCTTGCAGACTGACCAAATCACAGAATGCAAGAACCGACCGTAATGCATGATCAAACTGAAGAACAAATATATTCCTCATAATTGAATTAATAAATAAATAATGCCCGTATAATATTTTATGTCACAACATAGGTGATATCAACAACCTCTTTTAACAAATTAAATTACCCAACAGTGTTTAGACAGCTATATATCTTTTTTTCCTTTTCTGGGGAGAAATTGAGAAATCTTGTAAATGTTTTATGTTAATGGTTTGAGGTGGAATACTTGACAGCTTGGCTGGTATGACTTCTTGGCTGCAGCCTGCTCAAACTTCTTTATACCAGTTTCATTTTCTTCTAAGTTTGTCTGGACAAAATAGCGAACCCACCAAGACGAGCTCCGCATTTTCGCCTTCAAATATGAAGCAAACATGTTATTTGTAAGAACAAACTAGCAAAATAGCTAGGGAAGTGATTTTTAGCCCCCCACCTATTTGATCAGTATCCCCAACTTTTAAAAGTTTGTTGTGATGACAACTCTAACCTTAAAAACAATTAGAAGAAAGGACATTATAAATTCTAAGTACACCCACACTCTATTTTATAATATTAAATCTTTATTTTTTGCATAAATCCTAAATCTAAATTATCATAATCATTGAAATTGTTGGTTTAATGAAAATATTTTCATATTTCGCACTAGTTAAAACTTATAAATTGATTCTAAAATTGAAACTGGAGAAAGAGGTGCAAAGAAAAAATCTAATTAAGGTTAGAAGGGTATTTTGGTTATTAAATGAGGTTTAAAGAGGACTTTTATATATAAAATGGGTGTATTTAGCAATGATGGATACTGATCAAATAAGTGGGGGCTAAAAAACACTTCCCAAACACTTATTCTTAATGACCCTGATAAGTAAAGGAAAAATTTGGCCCAAGAGGGCAAAATCTAACAACAATAATACTTAAAAACGTCAAAAAATATATTAGTACTAAAAAATTGATATTATCTGTTGATGGTATTTCCATTGTCTTTAGCTGGAGCAGTTATGCCTTTCTTCCTTATTTTTACAGCTTGGAGTAGTTATACCTTTCTTCCTTATTTTTACCTTTCTTTTATTGTACTTCGTGCATTTTCATTTCTTTTATGTATTTAGGTTCCTTCCTAGTGGTAAGATTCTACTATCCCCTATCTAAGTCATGCTGTGGAGGTTTACTAGAAAAATCTTTTAAGCATTCTCATAGTTCAAAATGTTGTATAAATAATTTTTTAAATTGATATGTACTTTGTGATCCATTAGTTAGAATCAAATACTATTAAAGACTCTGTCTTCAAATGCATATATATCTACCCAAAAAAAACTATACTAAACCGTATACAACTTTTTTCTTGTTTGATGGAGAACATAACTATTATTCCTTTTTAAAAAAATAAAAGTTATCACATAATATAGCTTAAATTTTCATTCAGTTGTATTAACTATTTTTTACAAACATAACATAAAACATATTGAATTAGATAACAAAATCAGTCTCTTTTGACTCTTACGTTCTATAACAAAAATTTTAAAAGATCATATAGGTACTAGAAACCTTAAAAAAAAAATATCAAAAGTCTAAAAAAAATTATTTGTGGATAACAAATCAAACAAACCCTAAAATTGCTATGTTGTCCTGCATTAATGACTCTTCTACTTACTCGTTACTCCTATATAATAGTGTCAAAAATTTCTTTCAAGGTTTTAAAAGACTGAAGAATTAAAATTAATATAGAGCTAATTCTACTGCCATTTAATAGAAATCAATGTCTGAACTATATTTTTCAGTTTATTTACTTTTTTCTATTGCTGTTTTGTGGTAAACACACCTCAATAATACAATTTAAGTTTTATTCAAAAGTAAAATGCAATCAAAGGAAAACTAAAACTGAGATTATGGCCAAGGAAAAATCCATAGACATGTTTCAAGTAATACGTTTTTAAAAGCTATCAAAAAGCAAAACAAAGAAAATAAGCAGTAGAAAGATACTTACTGGCCGTCCAAATTTGGATAACTCTGAAATTTTGGCTCTCTGTTTGCCAGGGTATCCTACACATGCAGAAAAACAAGTGAAAAAGTTAAGTGAACTGAAAGTAAAATATCAAGCAGCATTTGAACTTTATATTAAACTAAATGCAAAACATTCAGGAAAAGCAAATAAAAGCAAGATATTCTACTAATAGACTATAAGTGAGAAAAAGAAAAAAAAAAAAAAAAAAAAAAAAAAAAAAAAAACCACATTATAGGGCCTAGGTAAAGCATAACTCAAATAGTCTACATGGTAATACTACTAATTTAGAAAAGAGAAGTAGGATAACTAGGGAGAGTTGTAGCATATCACCTACAATATTAGGCTTGATCACCAAAGTTAAGTTACTCACTTAACTGGCATCTCGTGCATTCTCATGTGCAAGAGAGGGAAGAGCTAAACTTCTTAACAGATTTTATTGCCAGTTCAATGATGTCTATACACATGCACGCATGTGTTTTGTCAGTGTATTTGAATTAAATTTCATAAGGTGGTTCACATGTTACCTGCGAAAATAACAACACCATCAGCAGCCACCCTTGCCAAATCTGGAAGTGTCTTGTTCAGGTATTTTGGAGATAAGTAATCTAGAGCATCTGACACAATAACAAGAGAAAATGACTTTGCTCGGTATGGCAGAGGGAACTTGATATCAGCCACACGCACAAGGCCTTTGTGTACAAGGCTTGAGCATCTTGCATCTGCATCTTCTATGTCATAAGGTTCCACACCCCACGCTTCAGTTTCCTCTTCTTTCAACAACGCAGAGACTACAGAACAAGTATCAGGGCCCACATGCAAAACTCTGTGCATGCTATCACCATATGCCTTCTTTAGAATAGGTAAGGCTCCATGAACTTCTGATGTGCAAGAAAAGTCACCTGCAGAATGGAAGATCCAATCAATATTGACAAACACTTAATAAAAATACCTTGCTAATATTTCTAAAAAACGAGAATTGCTTTAGTGTAGTAACTAAAACTCAGCCTTGTCCATCAATTCAGCTGTGGTATGCAAACCAAAGTCTTTTCCATAAAAAATTTTAACTTAATCAAACTACTAAAATTGGTCAAATTGACACACATCTTTCACTTTCAAAATTATTGTTGAGATGAGAACCAGTTTAACTCAAGGCACGAAACCAACATGGATAAATTGCATAAAAGCTAAGAATTTTACTGAATAAACTTTGTCGGGTAAGATAAAATGTTTTGTCCAGTGTATATCCATTATTTTAACAAACTAGGGGTCGGTTAACTTTGCCTATATGATCATTTCATCTCTGTTCAGTTTTGGCAACTGCGCAAAAGAAAATGCACCAAAGGAATTCTAAGGAATTATCAACATTTAGGGATAAAAAATAGAAGTAGTATCATTAAATCTTACCTTGAAACAGGCATCAGTAAACAAGAATGTTTAAAATGAAAACAACTTAAAAAATTGTCTAAATTCATCCTAAACTTGTAATCATGCCTTGCTAATTTATTACTTCAATCATAGTAACAAGCTTACTCAGATCTATGAAATAAGCCACTAAATGCTGTCTACCAAATATGAAAATTGGACATATTATATAACCTTAAAAAAAAAAAAAAATTTCCACATTGATTCATGAGAAGCAAAAGAAGAAAAAAAAAAAACTGAAAAAGGTACATAAGAAAATAGTAAAAAGGCAGAGATAAGTTACCTTCGACTCTAGTAACAGTTTCTCTGGCACCCCCAAAAACACCTGTATTGTATCAAAACAGAGTCATATAATTAACTAGTTGAACCATTATGCATAATCATTCGAGAAAACTAATACACATACCCGAGCCACTGAACGCATAAACGAAAAGAAGGAAGGCGCCCTGGAAAATTAAGATAAGAAGAGAAATGCAGAAAAAAGTTAAAACTGGAGAGGATGTTATACGTCACAGCATTTAACAAGATAAAGAAATGGTAATAAAAACTCACCAGAAGAACAAGAGCAACGGATAAGACGGGAGAAGAACGCGATTTCGAATGTAAAGCTCCGGAGAAGGGGAAGCTTCCACTGTCAACTAATCGGCGCGTAGAACTCACTTGTCTCCTTGACATGATTGAATTCAACAATCGCGCGCGTTTAAATTAGCTTGAGATAAAGAAATGAACAACAGCCTGCAGCTAGGCTGAGAAGGAATCAGATCTTGGATCTGGTAGAGAAAGTGCAGTGGAGCGAACGGATGTAATGGTAAATTTATAATAATTAAAATAATAATACAGTAACAATAATAGTGGAAAGTGTTGAGTGTGAGTGTGACTTGTGTAGTTATGGGTAGGCATGCATGATGAAACGCGTTGTGTGTGTCGGCAGTCTTGCAGCCAAATAACTAAATGATGCCGTTTTGAGCCCCTTTTTATTTCCAATAACCAATGCCTTATGCGTGTGTGTGAGGTTATGTATGATACAATGAGATTGTTATCAGGTTTTTACTTTTTAGATCTTTGTCGCTACTCTCAAGGATATTTATTTAGATCTTTGGATCTCCAAGTATAAAATAAATAATGTCTTCTTTTATCATGATTTATTGTGCTTTATGAACGTAATTGCACCGAATGCCTATATGTTATCATATTTATTATTATTACATTAATATATCCCAACCAATCACTTATATGTTACAAATAAAAATCATTAAATTCCATAATTACCGTGCTACTTTTATTCAATGATTAGGAACCCGGCCTGGCCTGATCGGTTTAACCAGGTAGACCAAGACCTGGGGCCTTCACTGGTTTAACCGACAAAGGTAGAAAATCGGCCCTCAAAATTACAAACACCCTCCTGCTCATTCCACTCACCTTCTCTCACATTCCGACACTTTCTCCCTCATTTTGGCGGATCCCTATGCCTAAAATCACTCCTAAACCCTCCATTGGCCTCACTGGTATCTCCCTACCAAAAACCCCAACACCTTAACCTTGATTGCTCGCTGATCACCGTCAGCCACTCTTAAGGTGCGATTTTACTTTTTTAAATAGTTATTGGTGCCAAAAATCACCTCGACTTGTCCATTTGCCTCACCGGCATCTCTCCACCCAAACCCCCATCATCTCGAAGTTCGATTGGCCGCCAATCGTCACTTATTTGTAAGGGTATTTTTGCTAAATTTCAAACCTAAAGGGACTAATGGGATTTATCAGGCTGCCTTTGCTTGATTTTAAACCTACGAGATGGATGATTAAACCGCCTATCAAACCGTGACCTGATCCCCTGGCCGAGGTGTCACACGGGCCAGATTCCTAATCATTGCTTTTATCAACTAGTTTGCTATCTTTTGTAGCAACGCTATAAACTTAAATACTGTCAATTTTAATTGTCAAGTTAATTAATTAAAATAATATTATAAAACCAAGTTAAACAAATTAAAACTTATAAAGGCATTAGCATGCAACAACAATGGAAATTTAAACAAAACTGCTTCACAAAATTCATTTACTGTAAAATTACTCTACTGCAAAGTAAGAACATCTAAACACTACAGGATACTGGGTTATGATCAACAACTTAACATGCTTATTTCAAAAGTCTGCTATTGCACTCGATCTCTGACTCTCTCCAAGAAAGCAATTTCACCCACCACAACACTCAGCTTCGTGCAACCAATATTAAGGTGTCCATAGACAATTCTTTTTGAGTTTTTGTTCCATACAAACTGGTCCATCGATTATCACTGGTAATGGTGTCTAAACTAGTATAAATGAGAAGTGTATCCCGTAATGCATGATTGCATTCTACAGTTCAACTGCTATGCTACTGTCCTCTGTGCGAGGGGGTCTCCATTTTTTATGAAAGATATCCCTTTCCACAACATTTGTGGCCTTCTGCTTGTTGTCAAGGATTTTCAACCTTTCATCAATAATTTGCAGCAATTCTTGCAAGCCAACTCCGGTTATGGCAGATATTTTGACATCTGGCGCATGTTGATCTTGAGATTGGGAATCTTTTTCCGTCAAGTCAATTTTAGTCAGCTCACTTTGTTGGTCATCTGGACTCTTCCAGTATTCATCCACATTATCTCGGTCATCTTCTGAGAGCAACCATCCATCAGAGTAATCACCATGGTTGTCCCCGGGTGACAACTCAGAAACAATCCCTTCATTATTGTCAGCATCATCGGCACCACAACTGTCCATGGGTTCTCCATCTACTGAATCAGATGCTAAATCTTCATCTTCCTCTCCTGACAAGCTATTCATCTCACCATCATCTTGATATTCATCGTCACCTATTTCTTCATCATCATAATCAATCTGAGAAATTGCAAATTTGAAGATATTACTATCCAATAGTTACTTTAATATATTCATTTTCCTCTATCTTTTTTTTTTTTTTTTTTCTCTTAAATAAATTCTTAAAGGGTGAGGGGAAAAATGTGCTCTAGTACCTTATTCCAGACTTCAATCATATTCTTCACCTTCTCCTCTGAGACTCCTACTTGCTGTAGAACTTGCAGCACTGCTGCCCGATGCTCTTCAAGGTTAGGGGCGGTGCAGTCTAATACATGCTACATGGAGTGAAAAAAACGATGAGGCATTTTATTGGCAATGCACTTACTCCAAAATTTGTGACATCTCGATTATGGTCAGTGTATCATTTCAAAAAAATGTCAAACTTGTTAGAATAAATGCATATAGGTGAACAAACTCTCATTACTTTGCATCTGCCTACCACCCCAATGGCAAATGCAAAGTAATGCTTCATGTGATAGTCTCCTTTATAAAGACTTTCTTAAGTCAACTTTACATGAATCTTTTTCCCGCAGAATCATAACAGCTGCCAATAAAGAGTCTATGTCAAAACATCCAATGCTTAGCCAACTTGTCTAAAAGGTGCTTATCCAAACAGAAAGTAGAAAGAACAAATAAATTCACCACGTTTAAAAACCTTCTTACTTCCCAAGGAGCAGGAAGTAAAAATAATGGTGGCTGTGACCAAAATATTGGTTACAGAGAATACCCATGAAGGGGAAAATGCAAGGAAATGTTAAAAATAGAAGTTTTCTACTTTCTAGCATACAGAATAGAAGCTAAATTCTGAACACCAGTAAAAAAAAACACGAGGAACTGTAGCATTCATACCACAAGTAGGTCAGCTTCTACCACTTCTTCCAAGGTTGCATGAAATGCATCCACCAACTACAAAATTACATTACATAGGTGATAAGAACAATGCCCAATCTTAACAAATGAAAAAAGCAATCAGACATGCTTTTGAGTTACCTGCACAGGCAAATCTGATATAAATCCCACTGTATCACCAAGGAGCACTTTTCTCCTGATATCACATGCATGACAAAATTAGAAAAACAAAAGATTTTATTTTCTCCAAAAAGACAATTAGTTGCATTACTGATCATGTTACCCAGAAGGGAGAAAAACACTCTTTAATCTAGGATCCAATGTTGCAAACAATCTGCACAGATTGGAAGTTCACAACGCCATTAAGGTAAAAACAGGTCATGGAAATTTTAAGTTCAACATCAAAACATAATGATGATAAGGAATAAAGATCAAAAACCAAATTCTTCGGCATAGAAATACCGTGGATCTCTATACAGGTCAATGCCAGACAGTGAACTAACTAGCGTAGATTTTCCCTGTCCACAGAAAAAGAAAAGTTATGAAAAAGCATGCTCACCTTATTTGTAAAGACAAGACCGAAAATCTAATATCAAATTTTGATAACCTACAGCATTTGTGTACCCTACAACAGCAACAGTGGCTAAACCTTGACCATGCAATCCCCCATGTCTCCTACGAGCAGCTCGTTGCAAAGCTCGGGTACGACGAACATCTTCAATTTGAGTTAACAAATGACTTCGCCGCTCTAAGATTCTGAAAATATAGTGAATATACACAAGTTATATCCTCTTCTTTTTTGGGGAGGAAGGGTGTGGCATTGGCAAAGGTGGATGACATAGATATTCATCTACCAAAGAGACATATTTCACAGAGCCACATAGAAATAACGGACCAAAAATTTAGCAAATACATCAATTTATCAAATATTTGATGTAAAAAAAAAAAAAAAAATAACTGAGAAGTAAATCTGATGCGTGCAACTTAGAAAGCAACTAAAGCGTAAAGAGTAGAAATGAAAAGGACAGGAGAATAGAGAAGAAAACAACTAGGGCTTGTGCAGCACACATCCAAAGAAGAATAGCACCCAGCAGTCACAATCAAACATAATGGCAGGGATACAAAACTTTAGCATTAGAGACTCTATTTCCATTTTACTTAGCAAGTTCTGACTCAGAATCTTGCCAAATGACTATTCAACTATGTTAGCTTTTGAATCATTATCCGTCTTTTCCAGTGACAATATCCAGCCCTCCCTTTGTTTGCATCAATAACAGTAACAAAATAGTGAAGATACCAAAATGGTGTCAGGGCTCATGGGTGAGAAAGAAAGAGAAAAAAAAAATCAATAATGCAATATTACAGCCGGATATAATGAACCACTATTGACAACAGTATTGAGAGTACAAAAGTAATTTCATTTTTTCCTAACACCTTGGGATAATGATAAAAAATCAAAACCTTATATACATGCTAATGAAAATGCACAGGAATCTCAAATACACACAACATAAAGCTATGGTTCATGAAATTCAACTTAAAAAATGGCACTTTGACTACAACTTTTTAGGAGATGATTTTTAATGTTGAACCAGAGAAGTAGAAATTTAAGGGGAAAAAAATTACAACACACCCTGAGGGCATGAGGAATACAATTTTGGAAGGGGAAAAAAAGAAGAAAAATTCAGAGCCTGATGACCATAAACAAGCAAAACATTATCAATCTCAAAAAATCTTATTCTACACAATATAATTAAATATCAATCATGAATATTAGTAAAATATGTTTAATATTAAATATTTCAAGCTGAGGTATTACAAAATCGCTGCAATACTTGCATTCATTAGACAGACACTTCATCTTTGCTAAATTAATCATACAAGTACCAATTATATGCAGGTCATCAAGGAGAACAAGCAAAACACCAAAATTACAGATTAATCATTTTAAAGCTTCCACAAGACTATATAGAGAGTCAGCAAAGCAATCACATCACACTTGAAGAAAACAAATTACTAAAAAATAAAAATTCAAGAAATTAGTGTCATGGAGCAAACCTTCGCCGTTGAAGTTGAAGTTCAGTTTCTCCAGCACCACTGATAAAGCCACGTCCTCCACTTCCTCTCCTGCAAATTGGTGATCATGTATGTTAGGAGTTGCTCTAAGAATTGAAAATCTTACAAGCACATATATGCAGGGTCGCACAACTAGGATGCATAAGAGAGAGAGAGAGAACAAAGAATCCCTAGAAATATGATAAGAATGGTCACATCCCAAGCTAATTTTTCAAAATAAACTAGCAACAAATGACAAAAGATATTCAACAATTAAGGCATGAAGCCATTATAAGCATAACCAAAAGTAGTCCAATACAACACAATAGATAGCAATTCTCTTACTTGTCTTACAAATTAGAGATTAACTAAGAATTTTCTTTTTAAAAAATGTTTAGATTATAGTGAAATACAGACTAGAGTGGAACATAACTTGTTTATGGTAGGTTAAGGTGATTCAGGGAGGATAGATTTCACTCACCAATTTAGAGTCAAGAGTAAAACTAGGTGACAAAATAAAGGAAGTATATTAAATACTAATGAAAAAGTACATCAATTGCTGATGTGCAAACCCAATGAAAATCAAATTTAAAAGGATTCTTCTGACTGAACCAAGATCATCACAAATCAGTTGGTACATTGGACAAGTATTGCCTCTTAAATCATTCTATCACACAACATGATTTGACCAAAACTCGTGGAATAAAATGTAATTAAACGATCTTCACTATTTACACAGATACCTAGTACAATTAAATCAAACTAAAACAGTTGAAAAAAGCAGGTACGAAAGTGTTTCTGTGACTTGCACTTAGTTAAGTAATGGATGTTTTTCCCTTCAATACAATTCCTAACCACATAAATCACAAACTTTAACAGCCTGGTTTGTCCTACTAGAATTGGGGTTATGAACTCACCCTCGAGCACTAACAACTTCAGCTTCCCCAGTCACTCCAAAAGTACTGCGTCCATCAGAGCTACGTGTACGAACAAGCCTACTCTTCTTGTACATAAGTGCTGCTAATTCAGCCTGTTAAAATCAGAAAACCACCATATTGCCAACAAAGCAGTTTCTTAGAAGAGCAAAACAAAAGGTAATTCAGTAAAACTTCTGCTTAAAGCCATTGATATATACCTGTAGCTTTGCCTCGTTTGTATGAGCATGAACATTAAATATCTCTATTATAAGACCCACACGATCGAAAACTGGTATTCCCCAAATCCTCTGTCATTCAAAACGAAAAATATTGCCAAAAAGCATGGGACACAGGCTTGAGTTTACTTAAAAAAGAAGGAAGAAACATTGAGTAGGCACTACTTGCCTCCAAATTCCTTTGCTGAACTCCAGACAAAATGGCATTCACAAAAACGGCATCTACTTCCTCCTATTAAATCATATGATTACGGTTAAATTTGCCACTTAACATGCTACGAATACTTAAAAACCAAATAGAAAAGTATTCAGCCATGAAAAAACACAATAAATTACAAAGCTCCCCGCCTTAGACTTGGCAGCATTTAGGTGGCATTTGACAGTTTCCACTGTCCCCGGTCCAAAGTATGTGTCTGCACACAATCAAAAGAGAAGTATCTTATCCATTAACAATAAAGAAATATATAACACATAGCCCATCAATCAATAGCCTCTCAAACCACTTCAGTAGAAGCTAACATAGAACCGCCACATAATAGACTTATCAACAAAACTTAAATGAATCACCTACGAACATAAACCTACTCATGATTATGATTAAAAAGGAAAAACAGAATGGTTAACCTTGGGCAATTCAAAACAGAGGTATACTAACCAGAAACAAAACAACCCAACAAACAAAAATTCTAACAGTTAAGATAAATGAATTAAAATTGAAGTAAATATACATTTCTACGCCAAAATCAACATACCTGCACGAGGTTTGGCCGATTTAAGAGCTGGGTTTTGAACAACGACATGTGGTGGTAGAGCTTTATCAAAAAAATCAGTAATAAAGTAGCCATCACGCTGTTCTTCGAGAGAGTTAGCGAGACAAAGAGCTTCGCTGAGCTTGGCTTGCAAGAGAGTGGGAGGCCTGAGGCGAGGCTGGACCAAGAAGAGTCTTGGAAGGGCATCTAGGTCTCTCTTCAAGAAGGTAGCGAGGTCGACTAACTGTCCCTGGTCTACGTCGCTGTCATCTGAATGGTATGACGCAGATGATGAACATGGAGAAGTAACACGTGTGAACGGAGAGGGTTTTAGAGTTTGCGTGAGAGACCTCACGTGGGTTCGTGTAAGAGAGATTGCTCTTAACATTTCAAGATGTTTGTGATCTTTCCAGCAGTTCAATTCAGTTCAGTTGGCTACCGCTATGCGCAAATAGCAATTGCAGTTGTGTTGGGTTTTGTAGCAAGAGAAGATGGTTTGGGCCTGCCCTTTTCGGCTTCTCGTCTAATTTGGTCTGAATTTTTTTTTTTTCCCGAGCAAACGACATGTTCCCACCCAGGGTAAAGCGAAATGACAAGTTTCCACCCTGGTTTTATAAATCTCAAATTCCCACCTTTAAACTCATAGAAAATTGTGTAATATAACAGTGAAAGGGTAAATTAGTCATTCCAAATCCTAGAACCAAATTGAAAATGAGTTGCCACTAGAACCACCCGTCAACACCTCCACAAACCACCGCAAATTACAAACACTTCCAACCCAAATCAATCAAGAGTTTTCTTAGGATTTTGGTTGTCTTCGGAGTCCTTCGTTGTTTGTGGATTGATTGTACCAATTTCCTGGCCAATTTTCCTTCCACTAGCCACCAACCCACCTACCTTTGTAACTTGCCCACCAACTGTCGATTTTTTACCCCAACCAGCAAATCTCAGCCTAGACCATGATTCTGAACTTTCACCACCTCTTGGCCAGACGATACCGGCCGAGATCAGCTCTTGACTTGGTGATCTTGGCTAGGATCTCTTGGCCAGTAGTGGTAGAGGTGGAGGCAAAGAGGCGGTGGAGAGAAATGTAAGATGTGGGGTTATTTTGTAATTGTATTAATTTGGGGGTTAAAAAAATTTATTTGTTAAGGGCATTATAGTAATAGCATTTTCTACATTTGTGTTGTGACTTGAAAATTGCTTACAGTGTTACTTTAAAGGTGATAATTTGAAATTTATGAAACCAGGGATGGGAACTTGTTATTTCGCTTTACCTTGGGTGGGAACATGTCGTTCGCTCTTTTTATTCTTCGAAAAATTAATCTAATTCAATATAAGTTCAATTTGCAACTAAAATGCTTGAGTCCTTCCATCCCCTTTGATTTCATTATATTTTATTTCAGAATCTAGTTAAGAAAATTAATAATATCCGATTCACTTTGAACTAGGATTGAAAATGAGTTGGTTTTGCAAAAATATCTATTGAATTTATAAACGTTGCAAGAAGGAAATGAATTAATATTAAGTCACTACCATCAATGAAATGGGTTTGTACTTCTACATCACAATCACTATGTATACAACAATTTAGGGCCAGTTTATTTTATTATTTTTGTACTATCCTATTCATATCTTACCCAAAATATATTTGTTTCATATTCTCAAAATCTAATTCTATTTTATTTAACTATTTTTAAACTCCATAAGTTTGTTAATTTAACTAAACATCTCTAACAAAAAGAGTTGATAAGTTGACAAAAACATCTTCACCCACCCACATTTGCCAGAATCCAGCCACCTTCCGGCACCACCGTTGAAAAGTGGCCGGAATCTGGCATAATGGCAAACTACCTGCTAGATCTAGCCGGTAGTGCACTGATCTAGCCTTTTCCAACTATATCCACGGTAGATTTGGCTAGATTTGACCAGAAAATGCCATATCGATGCATGTCCGGTCAGATCCAGCCGATCATACGTCATTAAGGCGACTTTCGGCCACCCTTCGGCTATGGTGGCCGACTGCTGGCATTTAATGGGTGGGTGGGGGTGTTTTTGTTAATTTTCAATGTTTTATTGTAAGGGTGTTTAGCTAAATTAATAAACCTAAGAGGGTGTTTTTGTTAATTTTTAAATCCTACCTCGTAATAACCACCCAACTCAACTTTTTCAAAAATACTATTCCAAATAATAAACCAAATACAGCCTTATCTATTTAATACACCAGTAATGATAGTTAGAACGACTATGCATGAAACTACACCTAGGTGGCTTGATAATAAAAGAGCAAATGAGGATCTAATATAGTTTCCCAAGTTCGAGTCATTTTGATGGTAAAAGAGTAAAAGGATGATCTAACATGGTCTCCTAAGAGAAGGATCTAGCATAGTCTACAAGGTTCGAGTTCCCTTGAGGGTAAAAGAGCAAGAGGAAAATCTAACATGATCTCTTAAGTCTCCACTGTTGCTATCACTTGCTAATATGAGTGGTTATCGGAGCTCATACCTGACTAGTAGTTCCAAGATCCTAGAGGATTAGTTGAGATGTGTATAAGTTAACCCAAACACTCCCAGTCATCAAAAAAATAAAAAGACTATGCATGAAAACGCAAACGATGCTATTTTCGTTATAGAGCTCTTCGTAAGGAATATAAACCTCGGAGATAGAAGTGATTCTCAAAGTCTTTTCTAGTAGTTAATCACATTTCTTACTATTGGATAAGTTCCAGTTCTTCATTTTACTTGTTTGGATAAGTCCACCCATGATGAAGGGGCGTGAGAAGTGGAAACTGCCAATGGCAGTTTCTCACAAACCGCTCCCATATAAAAATAAAGTTTTTCCTTTTAGAAAAGGTTACTCACTGTTACTCAAAAATACACAAAGGAAAAATACGTTCTCTCTCTCTAAAATTAGAAAAGAGAAATACTCTTTGTGGTTTTCTTCCAGATTCAATTTATTGCTTCAGAGATAAGGAGAAGAGGTATTTATGCTATGTAAATTTATTGTAGTTCATTTATATACAAATGTGATCGCAATGGTGACTATAATCTTGGGATTACTTTAGGATATATGTTATTCTATGTTATTTCCAACATTGGTATCAGAGCCGTGGTTCATATTGTTTTAAATTCATACTGTTATGTTAAAGCATGTTACTGGTTTATCAGATGTAGCTCTGAATTTTTCAAATTTTGTATGTAAAAATTTGTCTTTTTGGTAATGATAATTAGACTGTTAGATTCCTTATGAAATTATGAAGAAAATGGTTTTTGAATCATAAAAAATGGAGTTACAATGACTTAGATATGCCTCTTTAAAGTTTCGGGTTTCGTATGGATTGATTTTCGGTCGGGTACCTAGTTGCAGACCTGGACAGAGGTTGAAGACGACAAGGACCGACATGTCATTTTGAATCCAACCTTAAAAATGACAAGTCATTTTAGTTTAATTCCTTTTAATAAAAAAGCATGCAAATAGGCTTGGTGAGACTTGAACCCAATCTCCAAGGTTAAAGCCCAATTCCCTAACCACTAGGCTATTTTTGTTTCCAGCCCAACCCACTAACCAAAATAAAAATGGGTCAAGTTGACCCGCGGACCCGACCCATATGACCAAACGGGTTAGTCAAACCCAATAATTAGTCAAACCTGACCCATAAGGTCAAACGGGGGCAGTCAAACCCAGTCAACGCCTGACCCGTAAGACCAAACGAGTTAGTCAAACCTGGTCAACACCCGACCCGTAAAGTCAAACAAGTCAAAAGGTCAAACTTGGGTCAAGATTGACCCGCTTGAATGTGAAAACGGGTCAACCCGACCCGTATTCGCGTGGGGCACGTGGCAAGCGCGTGGAGTACCCTGCTAGTGCGCGGGGCGGGTGGAAGCTCTTGTCGGCGCTTGGGGGCGCGTGGTCGCTTCTGGGCGGCGCGTGAAGTATTCTAAATTTTTTTCTTTTGCTGTAAAGAATAAAAATGCATACTTGGTATGTTGTTATGAGTCTAATTTTTGTTATTAAACCATCGGACGGTTAACCAGGTAGACCAAGACCGGGGCCTTCATGGTTTAACCGACAAAGGTAGAAAACGGCCCCAAAAATACAAACACCCTCTGTCATTCACTCACCTTCTCTCACATTCCGACACTTTCTCCTCATTTTGGCGGATCCCTATGCCTAAAATCACTCCTAAAACCTATTGGCCTCACTGGTATCTCCCTACCAAAAACCCCAACACCTTAACCTTGATTGCTCGCTGATCCCGTCACCACTCTTAAGGTGGATTTTACTTTTTTAAATAGTTATTGGTGCCAAAAACACCTCGACTTGTCCATTTGCCTCACCGCATCTCTCCACCCAACCCCATCATCTCGAAGTTCGATTGGCCGCCAATCGTCACTATTTGTAGGGTTTTTTGCTAAATTTCAAACTAAAGGGACTAATGGGATTTATCAGGCTGCTTGCTTGATTTTAAAACTACGAGATGGATGATAAAACGCCTATCAAACCGTGACCTGATCCCTGGCCGAGGTGTCACACGGGCCATTCCTAATCATTGCTTTTATCAACTAGTTTGATCTTTTGTAGCAACGCTATAAAAATAAATACTGTCAATTTTAATTGTCAAGTTAATAATTAAAAATAATTTATAAAACCAAGTTAAACAAATTAAAAATATACAGGCATTAGCATGCAACAACAATGGAAATTTAAACAAAACTGCTTCACAAAATTCATTTACTGTAAAATTACTCTACTGCAAAGTAAGAAATCTAAACACTACAGGATACTGGGTTATGATCAACAACTTAACATGCTTATTTCAAAAGTTGCTATTGCACTCGATCTCTGACTCTCTAAGAAAGCAATTTCACCCACACAAACACTCAGCTTCGTGCAACCAATATTAGGTGTGGCCATAGACATTCTTTTGGTTTTGTTCAATACAAACTGGTCCATCGATATCAATGGTAATGGTGTCAAACTAGTATAAATGAGAAGTGTATCCGTAATGCATGATTGCATTCTACAGTTCAATGCTATGCTACTGTCCTCTGTGCGAGGGGGTCTCTTTTTATGAAAGTATCCCTTCCACAACATTGTGGCCTTCTGCTTGTGTCAAGGATCTTCAACCTTTCATCAATAATTTGCAGCAATTCTTGCAAGCCAACTCCGGTTATGGCAGATATTTTGACATCTGGCGCATGTTGATCTTGAGATTGGGATCTTTTTTCGTCAAGTCAATTTTAGTCAGCTCACTTTGTTGGTCATCTGGACTCTTCCAGTATATCCACATTATCTCGGTCATCTTCTGAGAGCAACCATCCATCAGAGTAATCACCATGGTTGTCCCGGGTGACAACTCAGAAACAATCCCTCATTATTGTCAGCATCATCGGCACCACAACTGTCCATGGGTTCTCCATCTACTGAATCAGATGCTAAATCTTCATCTTCCTCTGACAGATATTATCTCACCATCATGATATTCATCGTCACCTATTTTTCATCATCATAATCAATCTGAGATTGCAAATTTGAAGATATTACTATCCAATAGTTACTTTAATATATTCATTTCCTCTATTTTTTCTTTTTTTTTTTCAAATAAATTCTTAAAGGGTGAGGGGAAAATGTGCTCTAGTACCTTATTCCAGACTTCAATCATATTCTTCACCTTCTCCTCTGAGACTCCTACTTGCTGTGAAACTTGCGACACGCTGCCCGATGCTCTTCAAGGTTAGGGGCGGTGCAGTCTAATACATGCTACATGAGAGAAAAAAACGATGAGGCATTTTATTGGCAATGCACTTACTCCAAAATTGTGTGACATCTCGATTATGGTCAGTGATCATTTCAAAAAAATGTCGAACTAGTTAGAATAAAATGCATATAGGTTAAAAAACTCCCTTACTTTGCACTGCTACCACCCCAATGGCAATGCAGTAATGCTTCATGTGATAGTCTCTTATAAAGACTTTCTTAAGTCAACTTTACATGAATCTTTTTCCCGCAGAATATAACAGCTGCCAATAAAGAGTCTATGTCAAAACATCCAATGCTTAGCCAACTTGTCTAAAAGGTGCTTATCCAAACAGAAAGTAGAAGAACAAATAAATTCACCACGTTTAAAAACCTTCTTACTCCCAAGGAGCAGGAAGTAAAATAATGGTGGCGTGACCAAAATATTGGTTACGAGATAACCATGAAGGGGAAAATGCAAGGAAATGTTAAAATAGAAGTTTTCTACTTCTCAGATACGAATGAAGCTAATCTAACACCAGTAAAAAAAACACAAGGTCTGTAGCATCATACACACTTCAGTATCTACCACTCTCAGTAGGTGATCATGATACATCCATCTTCTACCATTGTAATCATCACAATATTAATAGGAAGATAACAATGCCCATCTTAACAAATGAAAAAAGCAATAGACATGCTTTGAGTTACCGCACAGGCAAATCTGATATAAATCCACTGTATCACCAAGGAGCACTTTTCTCCTGTATTCACATGCATGACAAAATTAGAAAAACAAAGATTTTATTTTCTCCAAAAAGACAATTAGTTGCATTACTGATCATGTTACCCAGAAGGGAGAGAAAAACACTCTTTATACTAGGATCCAATGTTGCAAAATCTGCACAGATTGGAAGTTCACAACGCCATAAGGGAAAAAAAGGTCATGGAAATTTAAGTTCAACATCAAAACATAATGATGATAAGGAATAAAGATCAAAAAACAAATTCTTAGGCATAGAAATACCGTGGATCTCTATACAGGTCAATGCCAGACAGTGAACTAACTAGCGTAGATTTTCCCTGTCCACAGAAAAAGAAAAGTTATGAAAAGCATGTCTCCCTATTTGTAAAGACAAGCCGAAAATCTAATATCAAATTTTGATCACCTACAGCATTTGTGTACCCTACAACAGCAACAGTGGCTAAACCTTGACCATGCAATCCCCCATGTCTCCTACGAGCAGCTCGTTGCAAAGCTCGGGTACGACGAACATCTTCAATTTGAGTTAACAAATGACTTCGCCGCTCTAAGATTCTGAAAATAGTGAATATACACAAGTTTATCCTCTCTTTTTTGGGGAGGAAGGGTGTGGCATAAAGGTGGATGACATAGATATTCATCTGCCAAAGAGACATATTTCACAGCCACATAGAAATAACGGACCAAAAATTAGCAAATACATCAATTTATCAAATATTTGATGTAAAAAAAAAATAAACTGAGAAGTAAATCTGATGGTGCAATTAGAAAGCAACTAAAGCGTAAAGAGTAGAAATGAAAAGGACAGGAGAATAGAGAAGAAAACAACTAGGGCTTGTGCGCACACATCCAAAGAAGAATAGCACCCAGCAGTCACAATCAAAAATAATGGCAGGGATACAAAACTTTAGCATTAGGACTCTATTTCATTTTACTTAGCAAGTTTCTGACTCAGAATCTTGCCAAATGACTATTCAACCATGTTAGCTTTTGAATCATTATCCGTCTTCCAGTGACAATATCCAGCCCTCCCTTTGTTTGCATCATAACAGTAAAAAAATAGTGAAGATACAAAATGGGTGTCAGGGCTCATGGGTGAGAAAGAAAGAGAACAAAAAAAATCATAATGCAATATACAGCCGGATATAATGAACCCTATTGACAACAGTATTGAGAGTACAAAAGTAATTTCATTTTTTCCTAACACCTTGGGATAATGATAAAAATCAAAACCTATAAACATGCTAATGAAAATGCACAGGAATCTAAATACACACAAAATAAGCTATGGTTCATGAAATCAACTTAAAAATGGCCCTTTGACTACAACTTTTTAGGAGATGTTTTTAATGTTGAACCAGAGAAGTAGAAATTAAGGGGAAAAAAAATACAAACACACCCTGAGGGCATGGAATACAATTTTGGAAGGGGAAAAAAAGAAGAAAATTCAGAGCCTGAGACCATAAAGAGCAAAACATTATCATCTCAAAAAATCTTATTCTACAACATAATTAAATATCAATCATGATATTAGTAAAATATGTTTAATATTAAATATTTCAAGCTGAGGTATTACAAAATCGCTGCAATACTTGCATTCATTAGACAGACACTTCATCTTTGCTAAATTAATCATACAAGTACCAATTATATGCAGGTCATCAAGGAGAACAAGCAAACACAATTACAGTAATAATTTTAAGCTTCCACAAGACATATATACGAGTCAGCAAAGCAATCACACACACTTGAAGAAACAAATTACTAAAAAATAAAAATTCAAGAAATTAGTGTCAAGGAGCAAACCTTCGCCGTTGAAGTTGAAGTTCGTTTCTCCAGCACCACTGATAAAGCCACGTCCTCCACTTCTCTCCTGCAAGGTAATCATGTATGGTAGGAGTCGCTCTAAGAATTGAAAATCTTACAAGCACATATATGCAGGGTGCCACAACTAGGATGCATAAGAGAGAGAGAGAACAAAGAATCCCTAGAAATAGATAAGAATGGTCACATCCCAAGCTAATTTTTCAAAATAAACTAGCAACAAATGACAAAAGATATTCAATATAAGCATGAAGCTATTATAAGCATAACCAAAAGTAGTCCAATACAAAACAATAGTAGCAATTCTCTTACTTGTCTTACAAATTAGAGATTAACTAAGAATTTTTCTTAAAAAATGTTAGTTATAGTGAAATACAGACTGAGTGGAACATACTGTTTATGGTAGGTAAGGTGACAGGGAGGTAGATTTCACTCACCAATTTAGAGTCAAGAGTAAAACTAGGTGACAAAATAAAGGAAGTATATTAATACTAATGAAAAAGTACTCAATTGCTGATCTGCAAACCCAATGAAAATCAAATTTAAAAGGATTTTCTGACGAACCAAGATCATCACAAATCAGTGGTACATTGGACAAGTATTGCCTCTTAAATCATTCTATCACACAACATGATTTGACCAAAACTCGTGGAAAAATGTAATTAAACTCTTCACTATTTACACCGATACCTATACAATAAATCAAACTAAAACAGTTGAAAAAAAGCAGGTACGAAAGTGTTCTGTGACTTGCACTTAGTTAAGAATGGATGTTTTCCCTTCAATACAATTCCTAACCACATAAATCACAAACTTTACAGCCTGGTTTGTCCTACTAGAATTGGGGTTATGAACTCACCCTCGAGCACAACAACTTCGCTCCCAGTCACTCCAAAGTACTGCGTCCATCAGAGCTACGTGTACGAACAAGCCTATCTTCTTGTACATAAGTGCTGCTAATTCAGCCTGTTAAAATCAGAAACCACCATTTGCCAACAAAGCAGTTTCTTAGAAGAGCAAACAAAAGGTAATTCAGTAAAACTTCTGCTTAAAGCCATTGATATATACCTGTAGCTTTGCCTCGTTGTATGAGCATGAACATTAATATCTCTATTATAAGACCCACACGAGCAAAACTGGTATTCCCCAATCCTCTGTCATTCAAAATGAAAATATAAGAAAAAATTGCCGAAAAGCATGGGACACAGGCTTGGTTTACTTAAAAAGAAGAGAAGAAACATTGAGTAGGCACTACGCCTCCAAATTCCTTGCTGAACTCGGACAAAATGGCATCACAAAAACGGCATCTACTTCTCCTATTAAATCATAGATTACGGTTAAATTTGCACTAACATGTACGAATACTTAAAAACCAAATAGAAAAGTATTCAGCCATGAAAAAACACAATAAATTACAATCCCCGCCTTAGACTTGGCAGCATTTAGGTGGCATTTGACAGTTTCCACTGTCCCCGGTCCAAGTATGTGTCTGCACACAATCAAAGAGAAGTATCTTATCCTTAACAATAAAGAAATATATAACACATAGCCCATCAATCAATAGCCCTCAAACCACTTCAGTAGAAGTAACATAGAACCGCCACATAATAGACTTATCAACAAACTTAAATGAATCACTACGAACATAAAGCTACTCATGATTGATAAAAAGGAAAAACAGAATGGTTAACCTTGGGCAATTCAAAACAGAGGTTACTAACCAGAAAACAAACAACCCAACAAACAAAAATTCTAACAGTAGATAAATGAATTAAAATTGAAGTAAATATACATTTCTACGCCAAAATCAACATACCTGCAGAGGTTTGGCCGATTTAAGAGCTGGGTTTTGAACAAGACATGTGGTGGTAGAGCTTTATCAAAAAAATCAGTAATAAAGTAGCCATCACGCTGTTCTTCGAGAGAGTTAGCGAGACAAAGAGCTTCGTCGAGCTTGTGCAAGAGAGTGGGAGGCCTGAGGCGAGGCTGGACCAAGAAGAGTCTTGGAAGGTATCTAGGTTTCTATTCAAGTAGGTAGCGAGGTCGACTAACGTGCCCTGGTCTACGTCGCTGTCATCTGAATGGTATGACGCAGATGATGAACATGGAGAAGTAACAGTGTGAACGGAGAGGGTTTTAGAGTTTGCGTGAGAGACCTCACGTGGGTTCGTGTAAGAGAGATTGTCTTAACATTTCAAGATGTTTGTGATTTTTCTAGCAGTTCAATTAGTTCAGTTGGCTACGCTATGCGCAAATAGCAATTGCAGTTGTGTTGGGTTTTGTAGCAGAGAAGATGGTTTGGGCCTGCCCTTTTCGGTTCTCGTCTAATTTGGTCTGAATTTTTTTTTTTTCCGAGCAAACGAATGTTCCCACCCAGGGTAAAGCGAAATGACAAGTTTCCACCTGGTTTTATAAATTCTAAATCCACTTTAAACTCGTAGAAATTGTGTAATATAACAGTCAAAGGTTAAATTAGTCATTCCAAATCCTAGATCCAAATTGAAAATGAGTTGCCACTAGAACACCCGTCAACACCTCCACAAACCACCGCAAATACAAACACTTCAACCAAATCAATCAAGAGTTTTCTTAGGATTTGGTTGTCTTCGGAGTCCTTCGTTTTGTTTGTGGATTGATTGTACCAATTTCCTGGCCATTTCCTTCCACTAGCCACCAACCCACCTACCTTTGTAACTTGCCCACCAACTGTTGATTTTTACCGAACCAGCAAATCTCGCCTAGACCATGATTCTGAACTTTCACCACCTCTTGGCCAGACGATACCGGCCGAGATCAGCTCTTGACTTGGTGATCTGGCTAGGATCTTGGCCAGTAGTGGTAGAGGTGGAGGCAAAGAGGCGGTGGGAGAAATGTAAGATGTGGGGTTATTTTGTAATTGTATTAATTTGGGGTTAAAAAAATTATTTGTTAAGGGCATTATAGTAATAGCATTTTCTACATTTGTGTTGTGACTTGAAATGCTTACAGTGTTACTTTAAAGGTGATAATTTGAAATTTATGAAACCAGGATGGGAACTGTTATTTCGCTTTACCTTGGGTGGGAACATGTCGTTCGTTTTTTATTCTTCGAAAAATTAATCTAATTCAATATAGTTCAATTTGCAACTAAAATGCTTGAGTCCTTCCATCCCTTTGATTTCATATATTTATTTCAGAATCTAGTTAAGAAAATTAATAATATCCGATTCACTTTGAACTAGGATGAAAATGAGTTGGTTTTGCAAAATATCTATTGAATTTATAAACGTTGCAAGAAGGAAATGAATTAAGATATGGCCTAGGTAAAGCATAACTCAAATAGTCTACATGGTAATACTACTAATTTAGAAAAGAGAAGTAGGATTACTAGGGAGAGTTGTAGCATATCACCTACAATATTAGGCTTGATCACCAAAGTTAAGTTACTCACTTAACTGGCATCTCGTGCATTCTCATGTGCAAGAGAGGGAAGAGCTAAACTTCTTAACAGATTTTATTGCCAGTTCAATGATGTCTATACACATGCACGCATGTGTTTTGTCAGTGTATTTGAATTAAATTTCATAAGGTGGTTCACATGTTACCTGCGAAAATAACAACACCATCAGCAGCCACCCTTGCCAAATCTGGAAGTGTCTTGTTCAGGTATTTTGGAGATAAGTAATCTAGAGCATCTGACACAATAACAAGAGAAAATGACTTTGCTCGGTATGGCAGAGGGAACTTGATATCAGCCACACGCACAAGGCCTTTGTGTACAAGGCTTGAGCATCTTGCATCTGCATCTTCTATGTCATAAGGTTCCACACCCCACGCTTCAGTTTCCTCTTCTTTCAACAACGCAGAGACTACAGAACAAGTATCAGGGCCCACATGCAAAACTCTGTGCATGCTATCACCATATGCCTTCTTTAGAATAGGTAAGGCTCCATGAACTTCTGATGTGCAAGAAAAGTCACCTGCAGAATGGAAGATCCAATCAATATTGACAAACACTTAATAAAAATACCTTGCTAATATTTCTAAAAAACGAGAATTGCTTTAGTGTAGTAACTAAAACTCAGCCTTGTCCATCAATTCAGCTGTGGTATGCAAACCAAAGTCTTTTCCATAAAAAATTTTAACTTAATCAAACTACTAAAATTGGTCAAATTGACACACATCTTTCACTTTCAAAATTATTGTTGAGATGAGAACCAGTTTAACTCAAGGCACGAAACCAACATGGATAAATTGCATAAAAGCTAAGAATTTTACTGAATAAACTTTGTCGGGTAAGATAAAATGTTTTGTCCAGTGTATATCCATTATTTTAACAAACTAGGGGTCGGTTAACTTTGCCTATATGATCATTTCATCTCTGTTCAGTTTTGGCAACTGCGCAAAAGAAAATGCACCAAAGGAATTCTAAGGAATTATCAACATTTAGGGATAAAAAATAGAAGTAGTATCATTAAATCTTACCTTGAAACAGGCATCAGTAAACAAGAATGTTTAAAATGAAAACAACTTAAAAAATTGTCTAAATTCATCCTAAACTTGTAATCATGCCTTGCTAATTTATTACTTCAATCATAGTAACAAGCTTACTCAGATCTATGAAATAAGCCACTAAATGCTGTCTACCAAATATGAAAATTGGACATATTATATAACCTTAAAAAAAAAAAAAAATTTCCACATTGATTCATGAGAAGCAAAAGAAGAAAAAAAAAAAACTGAAAAAGGTACATAAGAAAATAGTAAAAAGGCAGAGATAAGTTACCTTCGACTCTAGTAACAGTTTCTCTGGCACCCCCAAAAACACCTGTATTGTATCAAAACAGAGTCATATAATTAACTAGTTGAACCATTATGCATAATCATTCGAGAAAACTAATACACATACCCGAGCCACTGAACGCATAAACGAAAAGAAGGAAGGCGCCCTGGAAAATTAAGATAAGAAGAGAAATGCAGAAAAAAGTTAAAACTGGAGAGGATGTTATACGTCACAGCATTTAACAAGATAAAGAAATGGTAATAAAAACTCACCAGAAGAACAAGAGCAACGGATAAGACGGGAGAAGAACGCGATTTCGAATGTAAAGCTCCGGAGAAGGGGAAGCTTCCACTGTCAACTAATCGGCGCGTAGAACTCACTTGTCTCCTTGACATGATTGAATTCAACAATCGCGCGCGTTTAAATTAGCTTGAGATAAAGAAATGAACAACAGCCTGCAGCTAGGCTGAGAAGGAATCAGATCTTGGATCTGGTAGAGAAAGTGCAGTGGAGCGAACGGATGTAATGGTAAATTTATAATAATTAAAATAATAATACAGTAACAATAATAGTGGAAAGTGTTGAGTGTGAGTGTGACTTGTGTAGTTATGGGTAGGCATGCATGATGAAACGCGTTGTGTGTGTCGGCAGTCTTGCAGCCAAATAACTAAATGATGCCGTTTTGAGCCCCTTTTTATTTCCAATAACCAATGCCTTATGCGTGTGTGTGAGGTTATGTATGATACAATGAGATTGTTATCAGGTTTTTACTTTTTAGATCTTTGTCGCTACTCTCAAGGATATTTATTTAGATCTTTGGATCTCCAAGTATAAAATAAATAATGTCTTCTTTTATCATGATTTATTGTGCTTTATGAACGTAATTGCACCGAATGCCTATATGTTATCATATTTATTATTATTACATTAATATATCCCAACCAATCACTTATATGTTACAAATAAAAATCATTAAATTCCATAATTACCGTGCTACTTTTATTCAATGATTAGGAACCCGGCCTGGCCTGATCGGTTTAACCAGGTAGACCAAGACCTGGGGCCTTCACTGGTTTAACCGACAAAGGTAGAAAATCGGCCCTCAAAATTACAAACACCCTCCTGCTCATTCCACTCACCTTCTCTCACATTCCGACACTTTCTCCCTCATTTTGGCGGATCCCTATGCCTAAAATCACTCCTAAACCCTCCATTGGCCTCACTGGTATCTCCCTACCAAAAACCCCAACACCTTAACCTTGATTGCTCGCTGATCACCGTCAGCCACTCTTAAGGTGCGATTTTACTTTTTTAAATAGTTATTGGTGCCAAAAATCACCTCGACTTGTCCATTTGCCTCACCGGCATCTCTCCACCCAAACCCCCATCATCTCGAAGTTCGATTGGCCGCCAATCGTCACTTATTTGTAAGGGTATTTTTGCTAAATTTCAAACCTAAAGGGACTAATGGGATTTATCAGGCTGCCTTTGCTTGATTTTAAACCTACGAGATGGATGATTAAACCGCCTATCAAACCGTGACCTGATCCCCTGGCCGAGGTGTCACACGGGCCAGATTCCTAATCATTGCTTTTATCAACTAGTTTGCTATCTTTTGTAGCAACGCTATAAACTTAAATACTGTCAATTTTAATTGTCAAGTTAATTAATTAAAATAATATTATAAAACCAAGTTAAACAAATTAAAACTTATAAAGGCATTAGCATGCAACAACAATGGAAATTTAAACAAAACTGCTTCACAAAATTCATTTACTGTAAAATTACTCTACTGCAAAGTAAGAACATCTAAACACTACAGGATACTGGGTTATGATCAACAACTTAACATGCTTATTTCAAAAGTCTGCTATTGCACTCGATCTCTGACTCTCTCCAAGAAAGCAATTTCACCCACCACAACACTCAGCTTCGTGCAACCAATATTAAGGTGTCCATAGACAATTCTTTTTGAGTTTTTGTTCCATACAAACTGGTCCATCGATTATCACTGGTAATGGTGTCTAAACTAGTATAAATGAGAAGTGTATCCCGTAATGCATGATTGCATTCTACAGTTCAACTGCTATGCTACTGTCCTCTGTGCGAGGGGGTCTCCATTTTTTATGAAAGATATCCCTTTCCACAACATTTGTGGCCTTCTGCTTGTTGTCAAGGATTTTCAACCTTTCATCAATAATTTGCAGCAATTCTTGCAAGCCAACTCCGGTTATGGCAGATATTTTGACATCTGGCGCATGTTGATCTTGAGATTGGGAATCTTTTTCCGTCAAGTCAATTTTAGTCAGCTCACTTTGTTGGTCATCTGGACTCTTCCAGTATTCATCCACATTATCTCGGTCATCTTCTGAGAGCAACCATCCATCAGAGTAATCACCATGGTTGTCCCCGGGTGACAACTCAGAAACAATCCCTTCATTATTGTCAGCATCATCGGCACCACAACTGTCCATGGGTTCTCCATCTACTGAATCAGATGCTAAATCTTCATCTTCCTCTCCTGACAAGCTATTCATCTCACCATCATCTTGATATTCATCGTCACCTATTTCTTCATCATCATAATCAATCTGAGAAATTGCAAATTTGAAGATATTACTATCCAATAGTTACTTTAATATATTCATTTTCCTCTATCTTTTTTTTTTTTTTTTTTCTCTTAAATAAATTCTTAAAGGGTGAGGGGAAAAATGTGCTCTAGTACCTTATTCCAGACTTCAATCATATTCTTCACCTTCTCCTCTGAGACTCCTACTTGCTGTAGAACTTGCAGCACTGCTGCCCGATGCTCTTCAAGGTTAGGGGCGGTGCAGTCTAATACATGCTACATGGAGTGAAAAAAACGATGAGGCATTTTATTGGCAATGCACTTACTCCAAAATTTGTGACATCTCGATTATGGTCAGTGTATCATTTCAAAAAAATGTCAAACTTGTTAGAATAAATGCATATAGGTGAACAAACTCTCATTACTTTGCATCTGCCTACCACCCCAATGGCAAATGCAAAGTAATGCTTCATGTGATAGTCTCCTTTATAAAGACTTTCTTAAGTCAACTTTACATGAATCTTTTTCCCGCAGAATCATAACAGCTGCCAATAAAGAGTCTATGTCAAAACATCCAATGCTTAGCCAACTTGTCTAAAAGGTGCTTATCCAAACAGAAAGTAGAAAGAACAAATAAATTCACCACGTTTAAAAACCTTCTTACTTCCCAAGGAGCAGGAAGTAAAAATAATGGTGGCTGTGACCAAAATATTGGTTACAGAGAATACCCATGAAGGGGAAAATGCAAGGAAATGTTAAAAATAGAAGTTTTCTACTTTCTAGCATACAGAATAGAAGCTAAATTCTGAACACCAGTAAAAAAAAACACGAGGAACTGTAGCATTCATACCACAAGTAGGTCAGCTTCTACCACTTCTTCCAAGGTTGCATGAAATGCATCCACCAACTACAAAATTACATTACATAGGTGATAAGAACAATGCCCAATCTTAACAAATGAAAAAAGCAATCAGACATGCTTTTGAGTTACCTGCACAGGCAAATCTGATATAAATCCCACTGTATCACCAAGGAGCACTTTTCTCCTGATATCACATGCATGACAAAATTAGAAAAACAAAAGATTTTATTTTCTCCAAAAAGACAATTAGTTGCATTACTGATCATGTTACCCAGAAGGGAGAAAAACACTCTTTAATCTAGGATCCAATGTTGCAAACAATCTGCACAGATTGGAAGTTCACAACGCCATTAAGGTAAAAACAGGTCATGGAAATTTTAAGTTCAACATCAAAACATAATGATGATAAGGAATAAAGATCAAAAACCAAATTCTTCGGCATAGAAATACCGTGGATCTCTATACAGGTCAATGCCAGACAGTGAACTAACTAGCGTAGATTTTCCCTGTCCACAGAAAAAGAAAAGTTATGAAAAAGCATGCTCACCTTATTTGTAAAGACAAGACCGAAAATCTAATATCAAATTTTGATAACCTACAGCATTTGTGTACCCTACAACAGCAACAGTGGCTAAACCTTGACCATGCAATCCCCCATGTCTCCTACGAGCAGCTCGTTGCAAAGCTCGGGTACGACGAACATCTTCAATTTGAGTTAACAAATGACTTCGCCGCTCTAAGATTCTGAAAATATAGTGAATATACACAAGTTATATCCTCTTCTTTTTTGGGGAGGAAGGGTGTGGCATTGGCAAAGGTGGATGACATAGATATTCATCTACCAAAGAGACATATTTCACAGAGCCACATAGAAATAACGGACCAAAAATTTAGCAAATACATCAATTTATCAAATATTTGATGTAAAAAAAAAAAAAAAAATAACTGAGAAGTAAATCTGATGCGTGCAACTTAGAAAGCAACTAAAGCGTAAAGAGTAGAAATGAAAAGGACAGGAGAATAGAGAAGAAAACAACTAGGGCTTGTGCAGCACACATCCAAAGAAGAATAGCACCCAGCAGTCACAATCAAACATAATGGCAGGGATACAAAACTTTAGCATTAGAGACTCTATTTCCATTTTACTTAGCAAGTTCTGACTCAGAATCTTGCCAAATGACTATTCAACCATGTTAGCTTTTGAATCATTATCCGTCTTTTCCAGTGACAATATCCAGCCCTCCCTTTGTTTGCATCAATAACAGTAACAAAATAGTGAAGATACCAAAATGGTGTCAGGGCTCAGGGGTGAGAAAGAAAGAGAAAAAAAAAATCAATAATGCAATATTACAGCCGGATATAATGAACCACCATTGACAACAGTATTGAGAGTATAAAAGTAATTTCATTTTTTCCTAACACCTAGGGATAATGATAAAAAATCAAAACCTTATATACACACTAATGAAAATGCACAGGAATCTCAAATACACACAAGATAAAGCTATGGCTCTGAAATTCAACTTAAAAAATGGCACTTTGACTACAACTTTTTAGGAGATGATTTTTAATGTTGAACCAGAGAAGTAGAAATTTAAGGGGAAAAAAATTACAACACACCCTGAGGGCATGAGGAATACAATTTTGGAAGGGGAAAAAAAGAAGAAAAATTCAGAGCCTGATGACCATAAACAAGCAAAACATTATCAATCTCAAAAAATCTTATTCTACACAATATAATTAAATATCAATCATGAATATTAGTAAAATATGTTTAATATTAAATATTTCAAGCTGAGGTATTACAAAATCGCTGCAATACTTGCATTCATTAGACAGACACTTCATCTTTGCTAAATTAATCATACAAGTACCAATTATATGCAGGTCATCAAGGAGAACAAGCAAAACACCAAAATTACAGATTAATCATTTTAAAGCTTCCACAAGACTATATACAGAGTCAGCAAAGCAATCACATCACACTTGAAGAAAACAAATTACTAAAAAATAAAAATTCAAGAAATTAGTGTCAAGGAGCAAACCTTCGCCGTTGAAGTTGAAGTTCAGTTTCTCCAGCACCACTGATAAAGCCACGTCCTCCACTTCCTCTCCTGCAAATTGGTAATCATGTATGTTAGGAGTCGCTCTAAGAATTG